ACATCTTTCTCTTTAAAAGGCCAATTTATGAAAACTGCTTATATTAAAGCTGGGTACTCACAGCACAATACTTGCCACAGCTAGCGCTTGGGGGTTGAGTCTTGCTGAAATAAGACGTAACTGACGTTAAAGGAGCTCAGTCATGATATTTTGAATTATTTTGGCCATGTGCAAAATTACCTTTAAATTGAAGGAAACCTGAAAATAATCGTTTACTAAGATAGAAAAACACCAAAGAGACAATAATAAACCATTTAAGGAACAAGGAAGGTTGAGGATGGAGAAGATTAACACGGATTACAAACGACGAACTTGAAAAATTTTGGCTTTTAAATCTTAGCGTTAATTTTCATGTCAAATCTTACCAGCACCATAAGGAGGTACGAAGAAAACTGATAAGAGAAATCCCGACTGGACATCATCATTTGCAACTGATTTAAGATGACATATACTTGCTCATTTGAACTACACTGTAGATCTTAACCATAGCTGTGCTGTCCATTCTCCTCACGGCTCCAACTGGTGCAGTGGGAATCGCTGTCTCAGGTCCCAGATTGTTACGCCAGGCCGAGACAAGACAAGAGACTGGGGACCAAGGGGAAGTTGAACCCATTCTTGATGGACCTGATACTACATGCATAGAAATGAACACATGAATCGTAACATGGCTCCATTGTTGCATATGATTGAACTATCACACTGTATACTTGTACAAAGGAAATTATGTAGATATTGTGACTCTTTATTGGTACTTGAGCTAATAAAAGAGACTTTTTTTCTGTAAATGCAATCCTCTTACTGTATTAATGGTATCCTGAACTTAACTTTCATTTCCTATCTAACAGCAAGCCCTGTTAAGAGGGACGCGCGCTGCCTTCTGTGTAGACCGCACGCTTTGTTTAACATATTCTGCACTGACTCATCCACTAAATTTCGCCAAAGAAGAGCAAACGCTAAAAACGGTAGTCTGACCAAATTCATTGAGGCCGCGTGGCTGTACCATCGAGAGTATTACTTGACCCCCGACGAAGCAGACGCTTTCGTTAGAATCTACTGTAAAGTTCCGAGAGTAACGAGGGTGGTTTAGCAGCCTTAACCTAGACCTAGTCCTAGACCCATATTTTTTTTTATTACAATACAATATTTTACGGTCCACACGTCTTACATCGATTACAATGTTTACAACAACTTAAAGAAAAGAAAATTAACTCATTACAGTACCAGTTCATAAACTATAATAATATTAATATTACTGAAAGAAGCAAACAAGGAGACGAAACAAACAAACGAATTTTTCAAACTGAATTAAGACAAAAGTGCACCGAAGAAAATTATTATAGCTAGATCATGTATGGTTTCCTTTATTCGGATAGTCGTTACTTTCAAGTAAACTTAACCTCTACCAATACCGTGTCAAATTAAAGCATGCGCTTTACCGACACATGAAACGAACTGTTAAAACCTTATCAAGTTATTTAAAGGTTTCAGGAAAAATTTCTAAGGGTTCTTTTTCTGAGCTGCGAATATAACATAGGAAGAACAAGGCTTAAGAGTTTTTTTGCTTATTTTTTCTATGATAAATTACGTTTACCTCTTAGATCCAATAAAACTACTAAGATACATTAGTTAGTAGCGTCACAATAATAGAAGTCATGAGTGAGTTATTTTGACTTCCCCAAAATCAGCAAGTGAAATACGGACCCATACAAATTTCTCTTATTTTTTTACACTTAATGGATGTAAGGCATGTAACTCAGTTTGTATAGACTCTTTCACTCTTCGATCTGGTAATTATCTATATTGCAACTGATTTGAAATTTTGTTCCAGTGATGTTTGGAAAAGTTTTTAAAAAATGGTCACGCTACTACTCCACAATCTTCAATGAAAACTTTAACACAAGCACTTTTGACACCGTAATTAACAATCACATAACCATTACTAGAAGTAGCAATTTTACAAGGTCGATTAAATTTTTTAGAATGAAAACTAGTGAAATTAATAACGAACAACGTTTCGCCGTCCTCCTGACAGCATTGTCAAGTTCAAAATGTCGAGTGCGATGTATTTCGGAATACGATTTTATAAATATAGCTTGACTAAATGAGGTAAAGTAGTTATGAATGTACATTAAAGTCAGGAGCGCATTGTTCTATGTGAAACGTTTTCCCCGAACAGATCGAGTCAGATTGAGAGTTAAGAACAGGTTTAAGTTCTTTAATAAAAGACATCTCATAAATGAGACAGTCCAGTTTGTTTTGACATTTCTTCAAGATCGAAAAGCGGTTCAAAGCAAGGGTGTTGGCTTCCAGGTTGTGTTTCTGCACCAGCTGTTTACCAATGGGTGATCTTTCATGCTCTTCAATGCTTTGATGGAAGTGTCGGCGCGTATAGCCGACATAACCCGAAATATCATTCATCGCACTTGACATTTTTAACTTGAAAATGCTGTCACGAGGATGGCGAAACGTTGCTCGTTATTAATTTCGCCAGTTTTCATTCTGAAATGTTTATCTAAACCTTTTCTTAGTAGATTAAATTGTCTTGCCAGTGAGGAATTAATAGACTTTCCTACCTGCTGTTATTTTAATGTCACATACAATGAACTTTTCGAAGGTATACGCAGTCACCATTGTTTCTTTCTTGAATCACGTTCTCCATTAGCTCCTCCCCAGTCTTGATTGTAATTGCCAATTTATCATTTTCGTTATAACACTGTTTTCCTTCGGAATCTTTTGTTGTTATTATAAAGTTAGTTTCTCTTCCAACTTTTGCTTCTTCCAAGCCGTTTCCTTCCGCCACGGATTGAGAAGAATCTGTTCAACTGACAACGACTTGACCCGGAACAGCTTGTCGTAAGTCCTCGACGTCCTTTTCGTTTGTCACGTAATTAAATCTATTGGTTTCTTGACGTTCACTTCTTCATTTGTGTATTTTCTTTTTTTTTTTTTTTTTTT